TTGTACTCATGAGGAACCTGTACATAGACCAGGAGGCTGTCGTTCGAACAGAACAAGGGAACACTGTATGGTTTAAAATCAAGAAGGGAGTGTGTCAGGGTTGTATCCTTTCCCCATACTTATTCAATCCATTTTCTGAGCAAATAATCTGAGAAGCTGGACTATATGAAGAAAAATGTGGCATCAAGATTGGAGGAAGAATCACTAACAACCTGCAATATGCTGATGACACAACTTTGCTTGCTGAAAGTGAGGATGACTTGAGGCACTGACTGATGAAGGTTGAAGAATACAGTTTGCAGTATGGATTACATCTCAAAATAAAGAAGACAAAAATCCTCACAACTGAACCCAAAAGCAGCATCACGATAAATGGAGAAAAGATTGAGGTCAAAGAATTCACATTGCTTGGTTCTACAATCAATGTCAATGGAAGCAGCAGTCAGGACATTAGATGACATATAGCACTGGGCAAGTCGGCTGCAAAGGACCTCTTTCAAGTGCTAAGGAGGAAAGATATCTCCTTGAGGACTAAGGTGCACCTGACACAAGCCATGACATTTTCAATTGCTTCATATGCATATGAGAGCTGGACAATGAATAAGGAAGACCGAAGAAGAGTTGATGCTTTTGAGTTGTGGTGCTGGTGAAGAATCCTGAAAGTACCACGGACTGCTAAAAGAACCAACAAATCTGTCCTAGAGGAAGTGTGGCCAGAATGCTCCTTAGAAGCAAGAATAGCCAGACTTCACCTCACCTACTTTGGTCATGTTGTCAGAAGAGACCATTCCCTGGAGAAGGATGTCATGCTTGGTAAGGTGGAGGGTCGACGAAAGTGGGGAAGGCCTTCAATGAGATGGATTGACATGGTGGCTGCAATGATGGGCTCTCAAGTATACCAAGGGTCATGGAGCTGGCGCAGGATCAGGCAGTGTTTTGTTCTGCATAGGGTTGCTATGAGTCGGAAACGACTCGACGGCACCTAACAACAACATCACTACAGAAATAGATTACCCAATCTTCCTTCTGAGAAGTGGCTGGTGAGTTTGAACCGCCAGCCTTCTGGTGAGCAGTCAAATGCCTTAGGTACTATGCCACCACACATACATATGTGTGTATATATGTATAAATGTACATTTATCTATTTATAAGACATTTCTATAGGATTTATGCATTTTATAAGACATGTATAGAAATCATACACACCAAATTCAGGCTCATGCTTTCTTTTGGGTCAAAAGCATGGGAGATGGAATTTGGCATGGATATATAGGGGACTTCCTTTATATAAAGGGGCTCTGGAGGCATAGTGGTTAAAGCATTGGCCTGCTAACCAATAGGTTGGTGGTTTAAATGCAGCAGATGCTCTGTGGGAGAAACATGAGGCAATCTGCTTCTGTAAAGATTTACAGCTTTGGAAACCCTTTGGGGCAGTTCTGCTTTGTCCTATAGGGTCACTGTGAGTTGGAGTCAGCTCAATGGCAGTGGGTATTTTTGGTTTTACATGTAATTTGGAAGAAATTGGAAGCACTCACATTGTCTTTCCTGTTGCATCATTTTTTAAAAAATTTTTATTGTGATTTGGGTGAAAGTTTACAGAGCAAATATACTTTCCATATAGCAGCTCACATACACTTTGTCTCATGACATTGACTACAATTTACCACAATACAACAGCTCCCCTCCCACTTCCTCCCCATAGTTACCTCTTCCCTG